GCGACGCGGGCGAAGCCGCCGATTGGTCGAGCCCGGGTTGGCACCGCCCCCGGCGACCCCGCAAGCCCCGCCTACATTTAAAGATCCCACATTCCCGGGAGCCCCCTTAAGCCCCCAGCGCTCAGCTGGTCCTCAAACTCGCTCTCTGGCTGGACGCAATGGAGGGGACCTGACTTAGCGAAGCGACAACTCCCGCCCCCGACAGCTCTCGGTAACTCCTAGCCACCCCCTTTCCAAAATCGAGTCCCCAAACTCCAACCATCCCTCAACCCCTCAAATACACGCATTTGCTGAGGGGTAACTTTGCAAAGCGACTGGACACCTCCCTCCTGAAATGACCTCCTCAGAAGTCCTGCTTGCAGTCTATTGCTGAGTGCAGGGTGCCTAGGACCCTGACGTGGGGGCTTCTAGGAGTTGAGGGGGTGCCTACTAGGGCCATGGGTTCAAGGCCATCTTCTGTGAGACTTAGCCCCTCCTCCCACTTCTAACCCTTACCAACAATACCAGGATGGCAGGCCAGCGGAAGCCTGCTTGGGAGGTGTCCAAAACCATGCTCCTTTCTCCTGGCACAGAGGGTGTCCTTGGGCGACTCATTCATTCAACTTAATAATGGCTGGAAGGGGCCTTGGGGATGGGGGGGGAAGGGGGGGGCGCGGGTGGAACGGGGAGGGGGAGCTTTTCCTTCTCCTCCCCCAGGCTGCCAAACTATCTAGGCCTTACCCTGTCCCCGCCTGGCTGGGGTGACTGAGTCCAGCTCTGACCCCCCCATCTCTCTCCCAGTCCCCCACTGTTTTCTTCCCAGCTTGGAGCTTGGGACAGGGTCAGGAACATCTGACTGCTCGTCACTGCCTGTAGGCAGCTGATCTGTTTCCTCTGTGGTGTCCGGAAAAGAGCTAGACTGAATGAGGATGAGTGGATGGCTGCCTGGGCAGGGGGTGGTCTCATGGGCCAGTGATGAGGCTCAGCAGGACCAGGTGATGGCCTGGGGTCGGTGGACAAGACTTCTGTATCTCATCCCAGCCTGTTGGGGACACCTGAAGAAGGCCTGACTGTGGTGGCCGTGGAGGCCTGGGCACCACAGGGGTGTCAGGATGGGGGACCCAAAATGGATGCATCCTCAGCCATGCTCAAGGAGCAGCCTTCTGTAATCCCCATCCACCCATCCACTCACCAGCCCACCCCCCGCCAGGCCTGCCTGAGCTGCTGGGGGCTCTTTCTAAAGCACGGTCGTGCTGGAACCACCCACACCTCCCTCGGGACCTGGCACACATCCTTGTACTGCATTCAGTGCCCCAGCCCCTGCCAACCTGAGCCTGCCCCTGTGCGGATCTCTGCCCCACAAGGAGCACTCACACCGTGCCCACGGGCTGACTCCAACCTGTGTAGGCTTCTGTGGAGTGCCCGCAACATTGGATGCTTTTTGAATTCAAGTCCAACATGTAAACGTCCAGATATTCACAAAAGCATGGGCCACAGACCCTGGAGGCTCCTCTAGGCCCTTCCATCCTGAGCAGGCCCTGCAGGCTCTGTACCCATCTTCTCTCTTTGGAAAGATCCCTCTTTCCCCTTTGGGCTCATCTGCCCTAAGGGATCAGGGACCCCCTTCAAGGGGCTAAACTTAGGATGGTTGACCTAGTGAATGACCACTGTCCACCCAAGTCTGCCCTCCTGCCTAATTCAACCTCACCTCTCGGAGACAAAGTCTGGCCGAGGTGGATAGGGGTCGGGGGACGGACGTGGGGCTGTGGGTGGGCACCACCTGAGATTTCACTGCAGAGAGAGCCTCTTATCAGTCCATGGTTGGCTGGAAGAGACCAGAGGAGCCTACAAATGAACTTGTCAGTTGGGATGCACCCAGGGGGACTCACATTCCCAGGAAATGGCCTAAAGAACAGGCAGGAGATGGGGTGGTGGCTGATCAGGAAGCCCCTCATCCAGGGGCCTGAGGGCTGGGCCACAAGTCTAGGGCAGTGAACAAGGGTCCAGGTGGAAGAGACCTGGGAGAGCCTCACAGGGGCTGAAGGACCCATAGGCTGCCTGAGTAGGGATGGACTGGCCACCTACCCCTACCCCTAGCTGGCATCCACAGAAATATCAGACCCACCTGGGGCCTGACAGATGGCTGCCCAGGAGGTTGGACCCTGAATCCCCCATGAGTATGGAGATGGCAGGGTACGGAATATATTTATCCATTCATTCATTCACTGATGCATTCATTGATTCACTGATTCATTCATTCATTCATTCATTCATTCATTCATTCATTCATTCACAAAGCCACCGAGCCCCTTGCCTGAGTCTGGTGCTGGGGATGCAGAGTCTGTGATACAAAACTGTCCTTCTTGGAGCTGAATTTCTAGAACTCTGGGAACAACACTCTCCAAACAAAAGGACCAGTAAGAATTCTAGATACACAAGTATTAGAAAGCGATCCAGTGAAGTTGAGAAAGATAGGAACAGCTGGGGAGACTTTGGGGTGGTCATGGGAGGCCTCCCAGAAGGGGGAACATTCCAAAGGGGCCAAGGAGCCAGGCCCGGAAGAGCTAGAAGGGGGCACTGGGTGGAGGGCACTGCAAGGATCAAGACGCTGAGGTGGGACCAAGGAGGGCATGTTTGAGGAAGAGAAGAGAGACCAGTGTGGCCAGAGGGAAGGGGCAAAAGGGAAGGACCAAGTCAGAGGCTGGCAGGGGTCCCACCTGCAGAGATGTGTGCACGAGGACTCCGAGCAGGGTGCAAGTCATGGAGGGCTAAGTCCCCTAGGGTTCTGTGAATTGTAGGGGCAGGAAGGGGACCAGGAAGGCCCCAGGAGCTGGGGCAGCATCTTAGAGGGCTTGTTCCTATCGGCTCTCTGGAACTCAGGGACTTAGAGAAGCGTCACTCATTTTATCAATGTTTATTGAGCACCTCCTGTATGTAAGAGATGAGCCTGAAGTGGAGACAGCATGGTGCAGAAGACACACGGAATCCCCCAAACTCATGTTTTCAGCAGGCAAGATGAGATCTTGAGTCAACAAATAAATACAACTGGCCCCTGCAGATGGTCCATGGGGGAAATGAGGCCAGGGAGTGGTGAGGAGGGGCTTTGCCTGGCAGCCCCTCGGTCCCTGCTCTGGAGGAGGAGGTGGGAGCCTGGGGGTGACAGGCAGGCAGGGAAGCAGCTCTACCATCAGCACAGGATCCCCACAAAGCAGCCAAGGCCTGGGAGCCCTCCCCACCAACACCACCCCCCGCCCCAGGCCTCCAGGGACCTCCCCTGGGGCTGTCCTATCCATGCAGCCGGCAGCAGCTTCCCTGTTCCAGACACCAGCGTCCCCTCCCTTCTCACAGTCAGGCTGGAAGGCTCCAGACTCTTTCTTTCTGGCCACGCCCACATCCAGTGGGACCTCAGGCCTGTCCATCCTTGCCCCTGAATTCACCCCAGGACACCCCTTTGTCCCCATCCCTTGCAGCCCCTGCTTCAGCAAAGGCCCTGGGGACAAAGGCAGGACTGAGCACAGTGTCCTATTGTCTGGCCCTACTCGTCTGAAGAGCCTCCCCCCACAAATCCCAGTCCACCCAGAACCTCAGAATGTGACCTTATTTGGAAACAGGGTCTTTCAGATACTGTTAAATGAAGATGAAGTCATACTAGATTAGGGTGGGCCTTAACCCAGTGACCGGGGGTCCTCCTAAGAAGGCCACGTGAAGACAGATGCGGAGACTAGAGTGATGTGGCCAGAAGCCACGGGACACCTGGAGCCCCCAGGAAGGGGAAAAAACAAAAAGAAGAGCCTGCCCTAGAGCCTCCAGAGGGAACGTGGCCCTGCCCACACGTGGATTTCAGGCTCTGGCCTCCAGGACTGTGAGAGAAGACATTTCTGTTGTTTTAAGGTTGTGGGCCTTTGTTACTGCACCCCCTGGAAAGTCATGCAGTGGTCACAGACAAGGGCCCCTCCCTCGTTGAGCCTCAGGTCCCTTGGCAGGGCAGTGGGGGCCTCCGAGGGCAGTGAGAGGGGCTAGGGAGCTAATCCCCTTCAAATGTGCTAGGTACACAACAAGTGCTCACTGGATGCTCCTAGTTGCAGGACTTGAGCGGTTCAAGTGACTTCCTGGCTTCTCTGGCTCCAGTCCTGTCTCTGCCAGGCACCCCCAGAGGGGTCTTTCCTTGCTAAAATCTCACCGTGTTGCTTCTAATTCTGAGTGCTCAGTGGCTCCCCGGGGCCCTCATGGTGTCCGTACAATTAGACCCTCAGCCCGACTCCAGTTGGACACCAGCAGGGGCCTTCTTGCCCTTCTAGACTTAGCTCAAAGAGCAAGAACACCTCTTCCAGGATGCTTTTCCAGATTTCCCTGAGCATGACAAATCCCTCCCTCCCCATGGTTCCTCAGCATTGGGCGGCAACCTGGCCACACACACTCCCTCCTCCATGCCCACCCAGTTCAGTCCCAGAATCTGCCCATTTCACTCCCTCCCTGACTACGCAGTCCTGGCCCAGCCAACTCTACCCAGTTACCTCCTGGGTTCCCCTCTGGCCTTCTGCCCCTTCGGCTCCTGCCCCAACAGTCCCTGCTCTCCACAGTAGTCATGGAGGCTTTTGAAAATCATAAATCAGACCACCATGTTTCTCCCCTGCTCACACACCCTCCACGGCTCCCCACTGCTCTGCAGTCCACTCCTTTACCTCAGCCCCTACATGCAGACCGCTCTATCTTCCTCTTCCTCCTCTCTCCCCCTCGCTAATTCTGTTCCAGTTATAGCAGCCTCCTCACTGTTCCTCAAACATGTCAAACTCATTTCTGCCTCAGGACCCTTGCATGTGCTGTTCCTGCTGTCTGGTATGCTGTT